CTGCCCCGTGACCTCCTGCCAGCGGGCGTTCGACACTTCACGTGGCCTCAAGGTGCACATGGCCTGGCACAAGCGTCGTGGTGACGTCACCGCCACTTAGTGGCGAATGGCGGTTGTTGTGTATACAAGTGTGTGCATATATATTTGTTTTCATATATTACTATGTATATATTGGCGTATATATATTCGTTTTCATATTGTGTATATATATTGGTGTGTGTGTATATTAGTTTTAATATATTACTGTGTATATATGTGTGTGTATATGAGTGGGGAGCGGTGGTGTAGAGGTTTTGCGCTACACTGCGCTATGAACCTGGCGACCCGAGTACGATTCCCGCTCAAGGCCAACACCAGTGACGGTTATCTGAACTGGTTTTGGGCCTCCCCTAGGTCGACTCAACCTCAAATGAGTACCTGGTACGGTGTGTAAACGTCGCCACTGGGGAGACAAAAGCGGCCGGGAGTGGTGTTGGCCACCCACCCCCTCGTGTGCTGTGCCGGCCTTCATAGGTGCTCGCTAACTGCACTTGTCCCTCCCAAAAGTATGTTAAGGCTACACGGGGGATATTTGTCTTTGTGTAAATATGAGTATGTGTACATATAGATGTGTGTGTCTATATATGTGAACGTACGTGTGTTTGTGTGTACGCAGCAGCAACAGCAATAACAGCAGCAACAACAACAGCAGCAACAACAACAGCAGCAACAACAAAAAGTTCCGCTCGAGTGATAGGGGCCTCTCTCTCTAGAGCTCCCTCAAGTGGACGCACCTTCCAACAGCAGTGGCGCGAGTGGGCTGTTGCAGGGGCTGCGCCGTTGCTTTTGTTGTTGTTGGTTTCAATGGACACGGCCAAATGTCAGACTCTGCATATTTATTCAGACAGGGATGAATCCGATGAGCTATGAAGCTCACTATCTTTCGTTGTTTGTTGTTCAACGCATGTCCAGTAGCTTCACGTGTCCGGTAGCTCCACGTGTCCAGTAGCTTCACGTGTCCAGTAGCTTCATTTGTCCAGTAGCTTCACGTGTCCAGGAGCTTCACTGTTCAGTAGCTCCACGTGTCCAGGAACTTCACCTGTCCAGGACCTCCACGTGTCCAGGAGCTGCACGTGTCCAGTAGCTTCATTTGTCCAGTAGCTTCACGTGTCCAGGAGCTTCACTGTTCAGTAGCTCCACGTGTCCAGGAGCTTCACGTGTCCAGGAGCTCCACGTGTCCATGCGCTTCACGTGTCCAGGAGCTCCACGTGTCCAGTATCTTCACGTGTCCAGTAGCTCCACGTGTTCAGTAGCTTCACGTGTCCAGGAGCTGCACTGTTCAGTAGCTCCACGTGTCCAGTAGCTTCACGTGTTCAGTAGCTCCACGTGTCCAGTGTCTTCACGTGTTCAGTAGCTCCACGTGTCCAGTAGCTGCACGTGTCCAGTAGCTTCACTGTTCAGTAGCTTCACGTGTCCAGGAGCTCCACGTGTCCAGTAGCTTCACGTGTCCATGAGCTTCACGTGTCCAGGAGCTTCACGTGTCCAGGAGCTCCATGTCTCCATGAGCTCCACATGTCCAGTAGCTCCACGTGTCCAGTAGCTCCATGTGTTCAGTAGCTTCACTGTTCAGTAGCTTCACGTGTTCAGTAGCTCCACGTGTCCATGAGCTTCACATGTCCAGTAGCTTCACGTGTCCAGGAGCTTCACGTGTCCAGTAGCATCACGTGTTCAGTAGCTTCACGTGTCCAGGAGCTCCACGTGTCCAGGAGCTCCACGTGTCCAGGAGCTCCACGTGTCCAGGAGCTCCACGTGTCCAGGAGCTCCACGTGTTCAGTAGCTCCACGTGTCCAGTAGCTTCGCTTGTCCAGGAGCTTCACGTATCCAGTAGCTCCACGTGTCCAGTAGCTTCACCTGTCCAGGAGCTCCACGTGTCCAGTAACTTCACGTGTCCAGGAGCTTCACGTATCCAGTAGCTCCACGTGTCCAGTAGCTCCACGTGTCCAGGAGCTCCACGTGTCCAGGAGCTCCACGTGTCCAGGAGCTCCACGTGTCCAGGAGCTCCACGTGTCCAGGAGCTACACGTGTTCAGTAGCTTCACTTGTCCAGTAGCTTCACGTGTCCAGGAGCTCCACGTTTCCAGGAGCTCCACGTGTCCAGGAGCTACACGTGTCCAGTAGCTTCACTTGTCCAGTAGCTTCACGTGTCCAGGAGCTCCACGTGTCCAGGAGCTCCACCTGTCCAGTAGCTTCACGTGTCCATGAGCTTCACGTGTCCAGGAGCTTCACGTGTCCAGGAGCTCCACGTCTCCATGAGCTCCACGTGTCCAGTAGCTCCACGTGTCCAGTAGCTCCATGTGTTCAGTAGCTTCACTGTTCACGTGTCCAGTAGCTCCATGTGTTCAGTAGCTTCACTGTTCAGTAGCTTCACGTGTTCAGTATCTCCACGTGTCCATGAGCTTCACATGTTCAGTAGCTTCACGTGTCCAGGAGCTTCACGTGTCCAGTAGCATCACGTGTTCAGTAGCTTTACGTGTCCAGGAGCTCCACGTATCCAGGAGCTCCACGTGTCCAGGGGCTCCACGTGTCCAGGAGCTCCACGTGTTCAGTAGCTCCACGTGTCCAGTAGCTTCGCTTGTCCAGGAGCTTCACGTATCCAGTAGCTCCACGTGTCCAGTAGCTTCACCTGTCCAGGAGCTCCACGTGTCCAGTAGCTTCACGTGTCCAGGAGCTTCACGTATCCAGTAGCTCCACGTGTCCAGTAGCTCCATGTGTCCAGGAGCTCCACGTGTCCAGGAGCTCCACGTGTCCAGGAGCTTCACGTGTCCAGGAGCTCCACGTGTCCAGGAGCTCCACGTGTCCAGGAGCTACACGTGTCCAGTAGCTTCACTTGTCCAGTAGCTTCACGTGTCCAGGAGCTCCACGTGTCCAGGAGCTTCACGTGTCCAGGAGCTCCACGTGTCCAGGAGCTCCACGTGTCCAGGAGCTCCACGTGTCCAGGAGCTCCAAGTGTCCAGTAGCTCCACGTGTTCAGTAGCTTCACGTGTCCAGGAGCTTCACTGTTCAGTAGCTCCACGTGTCCAGTAGCTTCACGTGTTCAGTAGCTCCACGTGTCCAGTGTCTTCACGTGTTCAGTAGCTCCACGTGTTCAGTAGCTTCACTGTTCAGTAGCTTCACGTGTCCAGGAGCTCCACGTGTCCAGTAGCTTCACGTGTCCATGAGCTTCACGTGTCCAGGAGCTTCACGTGTCCAGGAGCTCCACGTCTCCATGAGCTCCACGTGTCCAGTAGCTCCCCGTGTCCAGTAGCTCCATGTGTTCAGTAGCTTCACTGTTCAGTAGCTTTACGTGTTCAGTAGCTCCACGTGTCCATGAGCTTCACGTGTCCAGTAGCTTCACTGTTCAGTAGCTTTACGTGTCCAGTAGCTTCACGTGTCCAGGAGCTTCACGTGTCCAGTAGCATCACGTGTTCAGTAGCTTCACGTGTCCAGGAGCTCCACGTGTCCAGGAGCTCCACGTGTCCAGGAGCTCCACCTGTCCAGGAGCTCCACGTGTTCAGTAGCTCCACGTGTCCAGTAGCTTCACCTGTCCAGGAGCTTCACGTGTCCAGTAGCTTCACGTGTCCAGGAGCTTCACGTATCCAGTAGCTCCACGTGTCCAGTAGCTCCACGTGTCCAGGAGCTCCACGTGTCCAGGAGCTCCACGTGTCCAGGAGCTCCACGTGTCCAGGAGGTTCACGTGTCCAGGAGCTCCACGTGTCCAGGAGCTTCACGTGTCCAGTAGCTTCACCTGTCCAGGAGCTTCACGTGTCCAGTAGCTTCACGTGTCCAGGAGCTTCACGTATCCAGTAGCTCCACGTGTCCAGGAGCTCCACGTGTCCAGGAGCTCCACGTGTCCAGGAGCTCCACGTGTCCAGGAGGTTCACGTGTCCAGGAGCTCCACGTGTCCAGGAGCTCCACGTGTCCAGGAGCTCCACGTGTCCAGGAGGTTCACGTGTCCAGGAGCTCCACGTGTCCAGGAGCTCCACGTGTCCAGGAGCTTCACGTGTGTCCGGTTATTGACAGGGGGGGCATGAGTGAGGGCAGCCATGGAGGGGTGCTGAGTGATCACGGGAGGGGCTACAGCGGGGAGGGACGGGAAGGAGTTGAGGGGCGAGGGGAGGGACGAGGAGTGGGCGATGAGGAAGAGGCGATGATTTAAGAGAGGAACCGAGGGAGGTTGGACAGTGTTGAGTCTGTGGGCAGTGTTGAGTCTATGGGCAGTGTTGAGTCTGTGGGCAGTGTTGAGTCTATGGGCAGTGTTGAGTCTATGGGCAGTGTTGAGTCTATGTGCAGTGTTGAGTCTGAGGTGCAGTGTTGAGTCTGAGGTGCAGTGTTGAGTCTGAGGTGCAGTGTTGAGTCTTTGGTGCAGTGTTGAGTCTGTGGGCAGTGTTGAGTCTATGGGCAGTGTTGAGTCTGTGTACTTGATGTCACATTGCGCACCGTCACGTGTCCTCGCTCAACGGGTGCTGTTCACTCGATGTGTAAAATGAGTCACTCACTGGCACGAGTGAGCGACTCATTCGGCCTGGCTCACACAACATCTGCAGAGGAAGCTGCTGAGTGGAACAGGAGCCCGAGTCGTGGAGAGACACGGATCATCATCATCATCGTCGTCATCATCATCGTCGTCATCGTCGTCATCATCATCATCATCGTCGTCATCATCATCGTCATCGTCGCGCCCATCGAGCCCGAGTCGAATTACCACTCCGTCCTTGTCCCCGTGTCTGGGGAGCGGTGGCGCAGCGGTTAGCGCGCTGCGCTGGCTAAGCGAGTTCGATTCGACCGCTCACGCCAAAATAACGGGGAGGTTTATTTTTTTGTTGAACCGGCCTTGGGCCTCCCCTAGGTCGACTGGGCCTCGAATGAGTACTTGGTGCGCTGTGTAGTAAACATCGCCACTGGAAGGAGACAAAGGCGGCCGGGTGTGGTGCTGACCACTTACCCCCATCGTGTGCCGTGCCGGCCTTCTTAGGGGCTGCTACTCGCGAACAGCACTTACCCCCAACAGTCTGTCAAGGCTACGCGGGGGACCTTTGTGTGTAGAGCTCAGCATTTTTCTTCCTCATTTGCGAGCCTCGCAAGCAAAATAAACTTCAAAGTGAGCTTCGGTGAAATTTAAGAACGTGAGCTGTCGCCACCATCTATTTATTATTCGTGATGCATTACAAAAAAAACGAGCTTTTCTTGTGTTAGAGATCACGTGAATGGTAAATGTGTCGTACACCCACCTCCACCTGACAGAGTCAACTAGTCTAGTTTGTCAACGTGAACAGAACGTGCCATTGTGTTACTTTAGGAACAATGAGAAGGGTTTGTCAACGTGAACAGAACGTGCCATTGTGTTACTTTAGGAACAATGAGAAGGGTTTGTCACGTGAACAGAACGTGCCATTGTGTTACTTTAGGAACAATTAGAAGGGTTTGTCAACGTGAAGAGAACGTGCCATTGTGTTACTTTAGGAACAATGAGAAGGGTTTGTCACGTGAACAGAACGTGCCATTGTGTTACTTTAGGAACAATGAGAAGGGTTTGTCACGTGAACAGAACGTGCCATTGTGTTACTTTAGGAACAATTAGAAGGGGTTGTCACGTGAACAGAACGTGCCATTGTGTTACTTTAGGAACAATGAGAAGGGTTTGTCACGTGAACAGAACGTGCCATTGTGTTACTTTAGGAACAATGAGAAGGGTTTGTCAACGTGAACAGAACGTGCCATTGTGTTACTTTAGGAACAATGATAAAGGTTTGTCACGTGAACAGAACGTGCCATTGTGTTACTTTAGGAATAATTAGAAAGGTTTGTCACGTGAACAGAACGTGCCATTGTGTTACTTTAGGAACAATGATAAAGGGTTTGTCAACGTGAACAGAACGTGCCATTGTGTTATTTTAGGAACAATTAGAAGGGTTTGTCACGTGAACAGAACGTGCCATTGTGTTACTTTAGGAACAATGATAAAGGTTTGTCACGTGAACAGAACGTGCCATTGTGTTACTTTAGGAACAATGAGAAAAGGGTTGTCACGTGAACAGAACGTGCCATTGTGTTACTTTAGGAACAATTAGAAGGGTTTGTCACGTGAACAGAACGTGCGATTGTGTTACTTTAGGAACAATTAGAAGGGTTTGTCAACGTGAACAGAACGTGCCATTGTGTTACTTTAGGAACAATTAGAAGGGTTTGTCAACGTGAACAGAACGTGCCATTGTGTTACTTTAGGAACAATTAGAAGGGTTTGTCACGTGAACAGAACGTGCCATTGTGTTACTTTAGGAACAATGAGAAGGGTTTGTCACGTGAACAGAACGTGCCATTGTGTTACTTTAGGAACAATTAGAAGGGTTTGTCAACGTGAACAGAACGTGCCATTGTGTTACTTTAGGAACAATGATAAAGGTTTGTCACGTGAACAGAACGTGCCATTGTGTTACTTTAGGAACAATTAGAAAGGTTTGTCACGTGAACAGAACGTGCCATTGTGTTACTTTATGAACAATGATAAAGGGTTTGTCAACGTGAACAGAACGTGCCATTGTGTTATTTTAGGAACAATTAGAAGGGTTTGTCACGTGAACAGAACGTGCCATTGTGTTACTTTAGGAACAATTAGAAGGGTTTGTCAACGTGAACAGAACGTGCCATTGTGTTACTTTAGGAACAATGATAAAGGTTTGTCACGTGAACAGAACGTGCCATTGTGTTACTTTAGGAACAATGAGAAAAGGGTTGTCACGTGAACAGAACGTGCCATTGTGTTACTTTAGGAACAATTAGAAGGGTTTGTCACGTGAACAGAACGTGCGATTGTGTTACTTTAGGAACAATTAGAAGGGTTTGTCAACGTGAACAGAACGTGCCATTGTGTTACTTTAGGAACAATTAGAAGGGTTTGTCAACGTGAACAGAACGTGCGATTGTGTTACTTTAGGAACAATGAGAAAGGGTTTGTCAACGTGAACATAACGTGCCATTGTGTTACTTTAGGAACAATGAGAAAGGGTTTGTCACGTGAACAGAACGTGCCATTGTGTTACTTTAGGAACAATGAGAAAGGGGTTGTCACGTGAACAGAACGTGCCATTGTGTTACTTTAGGAACACTTAGAAGGGTTTGTCACGTGAACAGAAAGTGCCATTGTGTTACTTTAGGAACAATGAGAAAGGTTTGTCACGTGAACAGAACGTGCCATTGTGTTACTTTAGGAACAATGAGAAGGGTTTGTCACGTGAACAGAACGTGCCATTGTGTTACTTTAGGAACAATTAGAAGGGTTTGTCAACGTGAACAGAACGTGCCATTGTGTTACTTTAGGAACAATGAGAAAGGGTTTGTCACTTGAACAGAACGTGCCATTGTGTTACTTTAGGAACAATTAGAAAGGGTTTGTCAACGTGAACAGAACGTGCCATTGTGTAACGTGCCATTGTGTTACTTTAGGAACGTGCCATTGTGTTACTTTAGGAACAATGAGAAAGGGTTTGTCACGTGAACAGAACGTGCCATTGTGTTACTTTAGGAACAATGAGAAAGGGGTTGTCACGTGAACAGAACGTGCCATTGTGTTACTTTAGGAACACTTAGAAGGGTTTGTCACGTGAACAGAAAGTGCCATTGTGTTACTTTAGGAACAATGAGAAAGGTTTGTCACGTGAACAGAACGTGCCATTGTGTTACTTTAGGAACAATGAGAAGGGTTTGTCACGTGAACAGAACGTGCCATTGTGTTACTTTAGGAACAATTAGAAGGGTTTGTCAACGTGAACAGAACGTGCCATTGTGTTACTTTAGGAACAATGAGAAAGGGTTTGTCACTTGAACAGAACGTGCCATTGTGTTACTTTAGGAACAATTAGAAGGGTTTGTCAACGTGAACAGAACGTGCCATTGTGTTACTTTAGGAACAATGATAAAGGTTTGTCACGTGAACAGAACGTGCCATTGTGTTACTTTAGGAACAATGAGAAAAGGGTTGTCACGTGAACAGAACGTGCCATTGTGTTACTTTAGGAACAATTAGAAGGGTTTGTCACGTGAACAGAACGTGCGATTGTGTTACTTTAGGAACAATTAGAAGGGTTTGTCAACGTGAACAGAACGTGCCATTGTGTTACTTTAGGAACAATTAGAAGGGTTTGTCAACGTGCCATTGTGTTACTTTAGGAACAATGAGAAAGGGGTTGTCACGTGAACAGAACGTGCCATTGTGTTACTTTAGGAACACTTAGAAGGGTTTGTCACGTGAACAGAAAGTGCCATTGTGTTACTTTAGGAACAATGAGAAAGGTTTGTCACGTGAACAGAACGTGCCATTGTGTTACTTTAGGAACAATGAGAAGGGTTTGTCACGTGAACAGAACGTGCCATTGTGTTACTTTAGGAACAATTAGAAGGGTTTGTCAACGTGAACAGAACGTGCCATTGTGTTACTTTAGGAACAATTAGAAGGGTTTGTCAACGTGAACAGAACGTGCCATTGTGTTACTTTAGGAACAATGAGAAAGGGTTTGTCACGTGAACAGAACGTGCCATTGTGTTACTTTAGGAACAATGAGAAGGGTTTGTCACTTGAACAGAACGTGCCATTGTGTTACTTTAGGAACAATTAGAAGGGTTTGTCAACGTGAAGAGAACGTGCCATTGTGTTACTTTAGGAACAATGAGAAAGGGTTTGTCAACGTGAAGAGAACGTGCCATTGTGTTACTTTAGGAACAATTAGGAAGGTTTGTCACGTGAACAGAACGTGCCATTGTGTTACTTTAGGAACAATTAGAAGGGTTTGTCAACGTGAACAGAACGTGCCATTGTGTTACTTTAGGAACAATGATAAAGGTTTGTCACGTGAACAGAACGTGCCATTGTGTTACTTTAGGAACAATGAGAAAAGGGTTGTCACGTGAACAGAACGTGCCATTGTGTTACTTTAGGAACAATGAGAAAAGGGTTGTCACGTGAACAGAACGTGCCATTGTGTTACTTTAGGAACAATTAGAAGGGGTTGTCACGTGAACAGAACGTGCCATTGTGTTACTTTAGGAACAATGAGAAAGGTTTATCAACGTGAACAGAACGTGCCATTGTGTTACTTTAGGAACAATTAGAAGGGTTTGTCACGTGAACAGAACGTGCCATTGTGTTACTTTAGGAACAATTAGAAGGGTTTGTCACGTGAACAGAACGTGCGATTGTGTTACTTTAGGAACAATTAGAAGGGTTTGTCAACGTGAACAGAACGTGCCATTGTGTTACTTTAGGAACAATGAGAAAGGGTTTGTCACGTGAACAGAACGTGCCATTGTGCTACTTTAGGAACAATGATAAAGGTTTGTCACGTGAACAGAACGTGCCATTGTGTTACTTTAGGAACAATGAGAAGGGGTTGTCACGTGAACAGAACGTGCCATTGTGTTACTTTAGGAACAATTAGAAGGGTTTGTCACGTGAACAGAACGTGCCATTTTGTTACTTTAGGAACAATGAGAAAGGTTTTTCAACGTGAACAGAACGTGCCAATTTGTTTACTTTTAATCACGCTTATCCAAACCGGTCCTGGGCCTCCCCTAGGTCGACTCAGCCACAAATTAGTACCTGGGAACCAACCGGCACGTGGCTGGTTTGTGCGACAAACCCTCGCATGATTTGGCTGCGTCGGGTGGAGGTGGGTGTACGACACAGTCACATTCACGCCATCTCTAAGCCGACACAAGCAACTTTTCTTTTTTGCATATATTTTTTTTAAAAAGTGCATGAACAAAAAATCATTAAAGGAGCTTCGTTTTTTTTTTGGTTTGTTCGGCACTCATCCGCACGTCAGTGTCGTTGGAGATATTCACCTTCTCGGCGTTGATGTCTTCGTGCTCCAGGCGTCGTGAATCATTGATGAGTGCCAGGCATGAGATGGCTCGCTCCACTTTGGGGTTAATTCGATTTTGACTGTCCCGACTGCTGCATCCATCATTCCATTCGAATAATGTAATCATTATCCATATATGTAATAATATATGTTCGTAGAAGTGGGGAAAGATGTTGCACGTGATCTAAATGAAACTGTAAACTATGTGTTTTTTATTTTAACGGGTAAGGCCCCACCGAGATAATCGATTTGGGTATCATGAATGATGGCCCAACGAATTGGGCTCATCATCATCATCACGTGGACTAGCATCGCAGCTAAATATTCTAAACGCTTGATGTTGATTCTAAATGTGGAGGTGAAAAAAGAAAATCGGAGGTCCCGTAGATAAATCCACGCGACCACAGGGAGGGAGGGAGAGAGAGAGAGACACCGCGAACTCCAATATATCCAACAGCCCTTGTCACGGGTCGAACCCACGCCCTCCTGTATACCAGGCGAGGTAGTTAACATCTCGCCAGCGAACAAAAGATTCCAGTCAACTCCGCACCTTTTCCGAAACACATCGGGACGTTTCAAGTTTCAAGTGTTTGAGTTTCATGTATTAGGTATCGAGTCCTGTGAGCCATGCGGCTCTCGAGTCGGGTGCAGACCGCAACAAGCAAGAGATGAACAGAGAAAACATCTTAAAGCGACGACGCGCAACGGAAGCATCCTGGGATAAACCAGCAAATGTTAACCCAGCGCCGCGCGTTCGCCTAAGACAACGCCACCCGCCCCCACGCCCTTCATCTCCATCACAGCGGCGGCGGCGGCTGCGGCGGCAGCCGCGACAAATGAACAAGCGCCGGCGAGAGAGGCCGAACCCCTGCGGCCGACGACGGACATCGCCTCGCGCTGGACTGGGGGGGGGGGGGTGGGTGGGGGGGGAGCCCCCCACGATGTCGACATCCGCAAGGTCCACCCAAACGGCCCCGGCCGGCAGGAAAAAAAAAACCACCAAAACCTCGGGACCCTGGGTGATGCCAAACTCCCACCCACCCCCTAGATAAACCCCCCCAGATAAAACCCCCCTTCTTTCTCTCTCTCTCGGGAACCCCGCAACGTCGACGCCTCCCCGTCCCCTGTCTTCGCTCCCCCGTTTGAATGGGGTGAACGGGACGAGGTCCCGCCCGCTGCTCACCGAGACGGACGTGGGAGTGGGTCACCGCTCCCGCGACTCGATCGCGGCGTGGCGAAACCGGCTCGCCGGACGCTGTCGACGGCGCACGGGCGGGCGACATCGCCACCTCGCGGTTCGTGGCGAGTGGTGACAGCCGAACGGAGTTTGCGAGAGTGACGCAGGATTTTTACTTGGATCATGATGATGATAATGATGATGATTGTCATGATTTTTTTACTTAAAACTTTTGTGACTGCAGGAATTCGTATTCTATGGTTCTTTCGGTAAAGTCACGTAGATAAGAAAATAACAATAACATTTGTATTATTTGATTGTTATTTTATTTGTATTTTTTTTAAAGTACGTGACTTTACCGAAAGAACCATAGAATAAGATTATAATAATGATGATGATAATAATGATGATGAT